TTCTTTCATTGAGCTCTACTTCATCATGAACAGTATATGGTTCAGCAGGATTTACTACGTTTTTGGATTCTTGGCCTTGGTGTTTGTGATTTTGATTGTGACATGTTCCGAAGTGGCAGTTCTCATGTGTTATTTCCATTTGTGTGCCGAGGTATGTTATTCTGTTAGATCTTTCGTGTTTGTCGGATGACTCATTCTGTCGAGTAGGATTATTACTGGCCCTGGAGAGCCTTCCTAACAGCCGGCGCGAGTGGATACTATGTATTTTTGTACAGCATCATCTACTATATCCAGAGATTGAGTAAGTTCCTACTGTCCTTTCCCCGTTCACATTACGCAGTCTAACCCACTTTCACAGCCATTGATAATTTCCCTTCCGCCGTGTTGTACTTTGGATGGTCCCTCGTCATGTCCTTGCTATTTTCGATTTTGACGGGGACGGTTGGGTACTTTGCTGCATTAGTGTTTGTCCGAAAGATTTTTGCGAGTATCAAGGTGGATTAGTGAATGAAAAATATGGTGGCTGTACTTTTGGTAAAATACGATGTGATTAGATACATTATTTTCTTTTACTGTAACTGACGTTTTGTGGAGAAGTTGTGTCCAAATCCTTGGCTATGGTAATATTGAGGGAAGCCAACACTTATTTTCAGGATGAAGAGGTCACCGAAAGCGCCAGTATATCGTGAAATTCACATTTACGTAGTTGCTAACTGGACAGTAGCCGCCAAGCATGCCAACGAACGTAATCCACTATGTTAATAAACACCGAAGAGACATTGTCCCAATGACCAAGGGGATACAGATACGTCGCCGCCGCGTGAAGTGTATATTGATGCGGAAAGAGGAAGCATAGTTTTCGGAAGCTCCACAGAACGAGAGAGGGTCCTTTGCTGTAGAGACCCTTTAGTGGGTAGAGCTTTTCTTGGTCCTCTTGTCGCCACTTTTTCTGGGCAGGGTGTTAAGGTAGGAAGTTGGCTACTGGACCACGGGTAGGGGTGGAGGAGGTGCGGGTGGTGGTCCTGCCTGCTGAACCATGACAGCAACGTGAGAACCATGACCCAACGAATGTGCACGTTTGCTCAACAGGCCTACCGCTTCCGACTCGGCCAGCTCTTGCTCGATTCTGCCCAACTCCTCTCGCTGCTGCAAATCAAAAAAAATATATATAAATACATGTTCCTGGACCAACACAACAGAAACCTTACTTGATCCAACTGGCCCCGCGCTCTTGTCACCAATCCTTCCGCAATGGTCGTCAAGGGATGCATCGTCCCATTATATATCCGAGCGTTATAGGCAACCAGTTCAAGGTCATCCAGAAAGGCCGCGGCGGTTTTGTAACGGTAGTCCCTGACATCCTGTTTAACATAATTTTAGAACCACCACGACATATTACGTCAGTACAATAAAACCTACATCTCGAATCTGCTCCAATGTCTTGGGTTTCTTAACAATGTCGTAGTAATCTGGCACTGCCACGGCGGAAACAGGGCGACAAAATTCGTAGGCTTCGGGTATCGCAATAAGTTCGGTGATGACCCTACCGAGGATGGACGCGAGGTCGACTTCGGGAGCTGCGCGGCGGCGGCCGTAGGATTTGGGATGGACCGGTTGGAGGTAGTCTGTGTCGGTCGCTGAGATGGATTGGCGCTTTTTGAGAGGAGGGGTGGAGGATGCTGCTGCGGCAGTTGCTGCTGCTAGGAGGACTATCGTTGTAGATTGGGAGGTAATAAAGATGGTATGTGAGATTGGGTGTAAGCATGCGTCGTACAGGGAGCGGAGTGGACACCTACGGGATGGAGTTCGGATTTTTAACGTCAAAGGTTCATGTCGCCGTTCCTGTTCTTCATCGGAGCCAGCCCCTCGTCTTCGTTTTCCTTTTCTGTCCTCCTTCATCTTATTTACATGTTCTTGGACTCTGCCATCGTAATGGGGTTAGGACTGGGATCAAGGTCACATTGCAGTGGAAATTACTAACCTTCGCTTTTTCCTCCTCTTTTCTTCTTCACCTCCGATCCCCGGATATATTTCCCCACTGGATAGCCACGCTTAGTACATATCACACATTCAAATCTCCAACGAGTGGGACACTCACCTGGTGGTTTCCTCGTGCTCGATAATGGCCCGCTGCCGGAGGTACGCATTGATCACCCTCATATCCGTCACGACCTCAGACCTCTCCTCCTCCTGTCCAAACGCGTTCCGAACCTAGCAGGATTATAGCCGCTGAATCAGCCATCATCTGCCGCTACATAATCGTCCAGAAAAGTTTTACCATTCGTCTTATGGTCAATCGCTTGGTTCGTCCAGCTTGTCCGTAGCTCGTTCCACTCTCGGCAATGGAAGTGGTTTCGTCCTGCTCCAGATCACCAAACAACGCTAATAAAAGATTCCATTGCGTTACATTGAATACTCGAAAATCATGTCTGTCTTTCATGACTACGGATCTTACATCTTTCTCCTCCAAAGGATGGAGGGGAAGCAGCGCGTTCAGAGGATACAAAGCCGTATTCGCGCCATCTTTGGCTTTCCTCATCAAGCTCCATTTGCTGCGGAAGTCCACAGTATCAGAGATCATCCCGAACGTGCTGAGCAACTGGCGTTTCCATACGTACCCTCTGTTGAGAACTTAATGTCTCGATATCATCATATTGCTCGTCGTCCTCGGGGGCAGGG